ACAAAATCGACCATACCCCGTATATGCTCAAATTAATATCCTAATAAAAATTTCTATCGCAGGATTATTACAGAAGAATCAACCTTTCGATCAAAAAAGGAATCATCAAAATCGAATGAGTGGTTCGCGAGAAACCCACCTTTGAAATTGTGGCAAAATTTAAGTGGCCGGTTTTTTTGCCGGTCAGTTTATATAGAATACATTTGCTTACCTCATAAATGTTAACTATTAATAATTGTAATAGTTATATTTTTCCTTTCATCATTTATTTAACCCATTTGCATCATAAGCTCAGATATGCACGGATTTTTCCTGGTCATTATCACTGAAACCCATATATACTTTTATTATTCCACTAAATATACCACAATAACAAGTTTGAAATGTTCAAAATACAACAACTTGGCACTCAATAATGATTAAAACTAGAAAGTTTCGAGCTTAGCCATGCGTCTATCTAGACGGCTAAACCCGAATGCTTCTAGTTTCACCTTCCTAGTAACCAAAACATCCAGGAAAGGTCACTGTTTAACAGCTTCCGTTTCCATGATAAATTTGATCGTGAAGTATTGCGAGTTGAGATGATCAAAGAACTTCTGGAGACTCCTAGTAAACCATTTACAGCATTTTTGGTCCAGGAATGTGTTATTAATTTATTCGTCTATTATAAAATAAAAAGTTTGATAATTTGCGCCACTTTGTCGTTTATTCTAAATGGTGCAAATGGGTTAAAATCGTTAAATTGTGTTTATTAATATCAAATAATATTAGAACTGTTTTAACATCATAACTTTTTTGCTTTTATTACAGGTAATCCCTACTCCTAAGCCCAATAAGTAGACAACTCTTAATCAAGAGGACAAGTCAGCAAATTTCAACAAATATTCAATTAGTTAGAGTTAATTTGAGTGTTTTTTGTTTGATAATATCCACATGACGTAATGTAATAAAAAGTAGTAAACAGACAATCTCACATTTTTATTTCTTTTTATTTCATGAATTAAAAAAGTGTTAGTAAGCTACAGAAAAAAATTTAATTTAAAATTAGTTAATTTAAATATCAGCTTTTAATTGTGTATCTGGAATTTGGACCTTCTCTCCAGGTCTAAAAGCTGGCATTCCTAAATAAGGGCAAGCTGCGCATCGAAAAGCATCCCCCAAATAACACTAAAACGAAACGTTAATATTAATAATTAATTAATTAAATTAGAAACTTAAATACATTTCCACAAGATGATTTTGGTCCTTTTCCTGTATCAACAACTTTTGAATTAGTCCTCTCAGATGCGAGTTCTTCAGCTAACCCACAACTACAATCTTTACAAGCCCTACGTTTACCGGTAGTCCCACAAACCTTCAATGAACTTGGATCTGGTTTTTTTAAATCATCCTCATCTAACAAACTATCGGGATCAACGAAATCATCATCTTCCACATCATCTAATTTCCACACGGGTTTCTTCAAAGTAATTTTAGCAGACGATCCAATTTCATATTTTGGTTTGATACAAGCTAATGAATCATCGTTTTGTTTAACTTCAACAAATCCAGCGATTTTTAAATCTAAAGCTACATCATCGCTTTCTTTTCCATCTAATAGAATCAAATTTCCTTTCGGTTTTAACGTTTCAAAGAGATTTCCTAATTTATCGCTTATGATAGTTTTCGATTTCACAATAATTGAATCGTACGATTCTTTTTCTACATCTAAAATTAAATGATGACGAAAATGAATTATTAAATAAATGTTTAGATGAAAATATCTTACATGAAGTTAAAGTTTCTGAAGTAATAAAGGTTATGTCGATAGTTTTATTAATTTTATTGGATATTTGTGTATTTGTAGCGTCTTTGTCATCAGTTACGACTAAAATTTTATCACCCACATTGATTTTATCCATTTCGTTCGCGTAATTTAAGTTAAAACTGAAAAAATTAATCACGCTGACAGGTCACGTATTATTTTTGACAGTTCAATAAGTTTTGATTATACAACCCAATTAACTTTAAATCTAATTTCTTTTTTGAAATACAAATTTATTTAAAACCTAACGATTATTATTATGATTTAGTTAAAATTTTGTAATTCACATAGTATTTTATTCGCACAATTTAAGTTAATCCTAAAAAAAGTAATTACGACAGTTTTACTTTGTTGATTATGCAACCCAATTAAGTTAAAATAAAAGTTTTTTCAGATACAAATTTATTTAAAACTTTAAATTATAATTAATATTTATTATTATTAATAAGATCTACTTAAGATTAAAATGTTGTAATTCACATAGTATTTTATCCATTTGGTTATCAACTTGCGAGTTACCCTCATCACTTAACGCATTTTTTAGCTCCTCCAAATCAGAAAAGACATCCCCTTTTTTAGCAAATTGTAAATTTTCTTGTTTATTTTGTTGCTTTCTCATTTCAATTAAAATATCCACAATCTAAAAAAAGTTATTAATTTAAAATAAATAAATTAATCAGAATTTAACCTCTTGTAATTGACTACAAAGTAATTTCATTTCAATAATTCCCTCTTTCCAACTATTCTTTAATATGTGTAATTTACTTTCAGCCAAATTAAGCGGGTTCTTTCCTCTTAAATCCAACGATTGTATATCAGCCCCTGCGCTACACAATAATTGGATTATTGGTAAATTAACTGTACATGCGGCTAAATGTAATGGTGTGTTTTGTATTGAATCTCTTATATTGGGGTTAGCACCACTCGACAATAACAACTCCACCAAATGTTTGTATCCTTTTGTTACCGCAATATGAAGAGCACTCCTTTTTAAATTATCGGTGCTATCAGGGCTCACTCCTATATCTAATAATCGTTTAACTCTTTCAATATCGTTCAAAGAAACAGCAGCAATTAAATTCAATTGATATTTTTCATTGAGTAATCGCAATTTTATTTTTTTTATATCAGATTGAAGCCTCGGTTTAACTTTAAATGGATGTTTCTTTAACTTTTCAATTTCTGTACTTTTTATTTCACTGTCACTGTGAGACATTTTAAAATAAAGAGTTTTTAATGAATTCTCGATTAAATATAAAAGCTATTGATGAAAATTTTGATATACAGTTTTTATTATATTATTGTTGGAGTTGGGGAATTAACTTTTATATGTTGTGGTAACATTGATTAACCAAATAATTTTTGACGTGTTTATATCTACCTAACCTCAAAAAAAAAAGAAAAGTACGAAAAGTTCCACTTTTAAAATGGAATGTCTCGTAGCGAACGTAGAATCTATTAAATTTGATATTGAAATAGCCCTAGATGAACAATATGGTGCTTTACCTTTACCTTTTCATGGAATGGATAGTAAGTTAGTATGTGGTTAAATCTAGTTGATTAAAAATTCTTCTTTATAGAATCAATTGCTGCTGTTTGCCAATTTTATTCGTCCCCGATGGGTTGCCCAAAAGGCCCCCAATGCCCATTCAGACACGTAAGAGGAGATAGAACGATTGTTTGTAAACATTGGCTAAGAGGTTTATGTAAAAAAGGGGATCAATGCGAATTTTTACATGAATATGATATGACGAAAATGCCCGAGTGTTATTTTTATTCTCGCTTCAATGCCTGTCACAACAAAGAGTGCCCCTTCTTACACATTGACCCAGAAAGTAAAATCAAAGATTGTCCGTGGTATGACCGCGGTTTTTGTAGGCACGGCCCCCATTGCAGACATCGACATGTTCGAAGAGTTTTATGTACAAATTATTTGGCTGGATTTTGTTCTGATGGATCATTGTGCAAATATATGCATCCAAGATTCGAATTACCCGCACCTCCAGATCAAAATATGAAAGATCAGAAGAAGCCTCCCGTTATTATTTGTCATTTTTGTGGAGAACATGGCCATAAAGCCGTCCATTGTAATAAAATTACCCCAGAACACAATAAAGATGATGGGGATCATCGTAATAAACATAACGACGGTCATGATGGGCAACAAGGAGGTCAATTATTCACGAGGATGATGCCGAAAAAATTGGAAGATGTTACGTGTTACAAATGTGGAACGAAAGGACATTACGCAAATCGTTGTCCGAAAGGGCATTTAGCTTTTTTGTCACAATCGAAAAATAATAGTAATAATAATAATCAAGATATGTTTTAATGGATAATAAAGAATTTTTTTTAATTGATATTTCATTATTTTTCTTTGTTGGTTGTCCAGCACAATTTAGATCACATTTAATTTTATTTATTTCAAGTTAACAAAAATAATCTGGATTTATTCTAATTAATTTTTAAAATAATTTCAAGTTTTTAACAAATTGAAGCAAAAACCTTCTTTTATAACCCAAAAAGCATTCATTAGTAAGTTCTCAATACTTTCTTTAAAAAAAAATTTTTAAATAAGTCGTTTTAAAAAATTGACAATTCTTTCCAATCTAGGTAATTTTCACTTTAGGAATTAATTCAAATAAAACCAAAACTCCTAGAACCTTGGAGTTTTTGCCAACCTGAAATGAAAACCTTTTATAACCTTAACAAGAATCATTAATTAATTCTCAATGCTTTCTTCACAATCGAAAAGTAATAGTCTGAAGATGCACTGCTAAACCCGAATGTTTCTACATTACATTACATTGCGTTGACTATACAGGTGTATCTGAATGACGTGCCCAAACTTCAGGAGTGATTCTTTACGCAATTTTAAATGTACTTTCTCATATAGACTATCAGCGATTTCGACTCCCCTGCGGAGCTACGCCCCTTCAAAAATGGCGAAAAATTTTGGTTTATTTTTTTTTTCCCGAAAACCATTAACACCAAGAAAATGAAATTTGGGAAATATGTTTAGCTTATAATAGGGCATGTTTCGAGCCTATTTGTACTTTCAATCTTCCCTTCTAAGTTACT